CTTAATTCCCTCCATGAATTTTGAATTTAAAATTCTTAATTCCCTCCATGAATTTTGAATTTCAAAATTCAAACATCCCTTAATTACTTTCATAAAATATTATTTTATTCTATTTTAATAATTATTTTTAAATTCTTGCTATTTTAAATTATTTTTAAATCCCTTTATTACTTTAATTTTTAAAAATTTATACCTTTCTCGTTTTAAATCCATTTTCGATGCACAATACCTTGTTTTGATTGTATTTGAATTCTACACGATTTGGGATCATATTTGTTTCAAAATATTAGGTATACATGTAGTTATTTTTAAAACAACAAAAGAGCACTATTTTAAAAATATTCTATTATCGTATTTAAACTTCGAAAATGCGTAACTTTCTTGTTTTAAGTCGGATTTCGATGCACATCATCTTATTTTGTTCGTATTTGAATTCTGTTCGATTTGAGACCATTCTTATTTAAAAATATTTAGTATATTTGCAGTTATTTTGAAAACAGTAAAATAACACTATTTTAAAATATTCTTTTATCGTATTTAAACTTGTAAAAATCATATCTTTTCGTTTTAAATTGGATTTTGACGTATAACCCCTTGAATTTTTCAAAAAAATACCTACTTTATTTCAAAATTATTTTCAATCACTGATTTGACAGATTTCTATCTTATATGGTTATTTAGGTTTTTTTCTATTATTAAAGTAATTACTATCATAATTATTTTTAAATTACAAATTATTTTCAAACTATTTTGAAACCTTGATTGGGTTGTCAGTGGGTCTCCCCTATATTTATGTAGATATAAATTGACCTATTTTTAAAATTAAATTATTTTTCAAAGATTATATATATATTTATAATTATTTTGAGTATTTGTGAAATTACTCATGTTATTAAATTCCTAATTCCGAGAGATCCGCTATTTCATGAAATTTTAGGCATAGATTCTATGCATGAAGGGCAAATCGTGGGAGAGTGGATGGTTGAGTCCCAACCATTCGCTAATCCCTTCATTAGGTATTTTCATTTTCTTGTTGTTCATAGCTTGCATGCGTAGGTTGTACCACGAGCACTTAGTTTAGGCTCTCCTAAATCTAAGGACATGGCGTGTTTACTGCTTTTATATATTTCCCATGCATTATTACCTTGAGGGTTTGTTGACCTCGATTTTGCCTAGACCCGGGCCTAGAGAGTTGACTTGGTCAAATTGACCAAGCCAGACCCCAAGACCTTCTCCAATGGGTTCCGTGAGTCGAGTTGAGTCTGTTGAGCCTGGACTTGGACCTTGGGTCAACCCGGTTGACCACTTAGCCCATTTAGAGCCCAAATTGATTTAAATCCAAACTAAATCCCCTCATGGCTCGATCCTCACTCCCCATTGATCTAAATGACTGATTTGACCAAGTCAAATGTTGACTTGGTCAAATTGAGCCATAAATAGGTCATAAACACCTATTTGGGAGGAATTAAGGGTCATTTAATGGGATTTAAAGCCTCCAAACGTTTGGAATTCAAAATCCCGTTCAAATCAAGTGAAATTCCCTCCTAATTTCATCTAGGATCGATCCTAGCCGCTGATCATAGGATTAGGAGCCTTAAATACCCAAAATTAGGTCTTTTGGAGGGATCTTTTTGCTCTTGCCCTCTCTAGAGACGATCTTAGCCTCTGAGATTTTGTGAGAGCTCTTACACGACCTCCCACCACCTTTCCCGACCAGACCCCGGCCTCCCCAAGCCGCCGGCGGCCGGATTCCGGCGAGACCGAGAGCATATACCTTCTAGGACGATTTCCCGTTGATCGAGGACGAATCAAAGCTCGAGTTCAACTAAGAAAACGTACGAGGACAATCTACAAGCTCAACCGTATCAAGATCTTGGAGATTACACGGTGAAAATCCCTTAAAACTCTTAGAATAGTTCACAAAACTTCATGTTAAATAGCTTTTTAGAAAGTCGATTTTAAGCCAAAACAAATACCCACCACGATTTTTGTTCATACATGGATCTTATGTTTAAAATTTCGTGAAATTCTATCGTGTATTTCAAGAGAGCGAGACGTTTTTCTATATTAGGGTTCGGGTTCGCCGTGTCTCTGATCTGGACCGTTGATCTTGCGATCAAAGGTCGAGATCTGGCTGTTTCGCTCGTTCGTCCGACCGTGTATCAGCGGCTGATCGAAACCGCGCCCGTCCGATGAGATCAGAGCCGTTGATTCCGAACCGTGCAGAATCAAAGGCTCAGATCGATGCTTATGTGGTTAAGTGGCGTCGATCACGCCGCCGTAATCATTAGCAATGATTGCGCAGCGGCGCAATCATTGCCAATGATTGCGCCGAAACCGCGGAGCCTATCCGCCGCTGCCACGTTATTTTCGGGATACAAGCTA